ACCATGCTGGCTGGAACAGGAAGCGAATTAAACAGTATGTATTGGAGTGGTTTGGTATAATTGGTATTGGTAGATTTATATCAGTTAATAGCCTACTCTTTATCATAAAACGCCCATTAGATGTCGACTTATAAGCGCCGTCAGAATTTTCTCATTCTTGAATTCATGTAAATTATGCTTTATGTAGATTACAATGACATAGCTAAAGTGACTGTGAAATGAATATCTGAACTTCATATATTCATTGTGACCAAATAATAATAATAATAATAATAATAATAATAATGATATTTATATAGCGCCTATCCAATGATAGATCTAGGCGCTTAAACAAGTGAGAGGAAATTCAAAATTAAAGTTAATTAAGGTAAATCAACTTAAAACTGAAGTAAAAGCATATAAAGTCTATTCAGTCCTAATGGCTAAAGTAAAATCTTATGTGTCTCATAAAACTCAAGTCTCACTTAAACTTCTCGAAGAAGGAATGCTCCGCCTGCACAACAGCAGAGCTTCAATTAAAAACGATTATCTCCAAGATATTGAATTGAGCACATTACTCACAACAATTGTGGAGAATCTACATGCAGTTTCACATTTCACATTTTAAGCATGAGACCGGCCTTCGCCGCATTACAGTATTCCCAAGACTTTGGATTAATTACCAAGGAGTCGTTGAGGAGAGTAACGAAATGGGCAGCCAAGTATTCATGAAAAATCCTACTATCCTGTCCCTCAGACCAGCCCGGAGTTTCCAAATGTAAACTTTATGCGACCTCTACCTTAAGTAGAGATCGACCCCGAGATTGAAAGTGCTTTGAAAGAATTTGTGGAGAAATATCGTCCCTTGAGGCAAATTGTCTTGTAAATTTGAACTACAACTACTTTTTGTGTGTGTGTTTTTTTTTTTTTTTTGGCCACTGAAGAAAAGACGTAAATATATACTGGAAAATGGATATAATTGTCAAGTTTAGGTATGCACAGAAAATTGATAGATATAAGATACATTGATAAAAGTGGGAAATGTAAAAATGAATTAATTAATCTGATTGTTAAGTTTTGACTTTGGAAGTGATGGACTCCTGACAGAAAAAAGGAATAATGGCTTACAAAGTAATCGGAAGCAAGTAAACAAACAGACAAAAAACCGAAAGAGTAATTCATTGCTTCGTTTGACGGACGCTTGAACAAAGGAAGGAAAGAATAAATAAATGACAGAATGAATGAACGGATGAACGAAAAAACGAAAAGAACGAAGAGCGAGCGAAAAAAATCGAACGAACGAGCGAACAAAAGAACGAAGAACAGACAAACGAATGGACGCATGCACATGAATGGAAGCATGGAATTCTGAATTTAGTTTTCCTATTGAAAGCATGTTATCTTGATGATACATTTGAATCACGGTCAAGGGTGTCCGTCATGGGCAAAAAAAGTGTTCCGCAATGTCTTAAACCGCAATACGTAATTCCCACTACCAGTATCTGCCAGAAAAACATTTACCTGCAGAAAACCACACCGAAAAATCTGACCCTTTTTTATTTGATACGGGTGATGACCTTCAAAACAGGTTTAATGGGGTCTCAATATTAAGCAAACGTCGTAGAATTGGCAAGCATATTAAGACGTGACACTGAGAAGACATTTACCACAGAGATGTGAGACAGCACTTTAGTGGTTAGCGGTTGCTGCCAATTTCGATTTCCTTACCAATGCGACACTATTTAACAGGAGAAGTTATCACATAGTATATCGTGGTTTGTTTCTTCGCTATTTTAGCCGACTTTCAGTGGCTGTTAAGCAAGATGATGGAAGAAGAGGACTCGTATGGCTTCGAACAAACTCTGGTAAGTAGTAGTGCCCTATCGGTAATGAATTTACCCACACTGCGAACAACTTCAAATCGGAACGTGAATAGTGTGTACTTCAGCTGAAGCAATTTCTAAGTATTTCACTCTCGTAACTTGAATGAGCATTGCTAATTTACGCTTTTTTATAGTACTTCTTAAAATTTTTAATCAGTTGCTGCGAATAATGGCCTAAGGAAAATTAAACCATCGAGAACCCGACACAAATAGATATATGTTTACACACATTCAAAGCATTTTTCCCTCGTTGGTTACAATGTTATTAACTTCACAAATTCTTAATTGTCGAAAATATAGATATTGTGTCCAGTGTATAACACTTCTTAGCGGGAATCACTTTTATTCAAGCATACATTGGCTTTGAATTATGATTATCTTTTAGCTAAAAGTGAATGTGTAGAGATTTACGCTTACTAATACTCAAGCTTGAATGTTTGTATAACTCTGAAAACGTAAACACCATTTTCACTTCGCATGATCAATGGGATTAGTACTAATATTAGAGTTATTCGTTCTTCCTTGATATTGTGAACGATCCTTGCTAAAATGTTGAGTTCAGACTGTAAAGAAATCAATCCTTCTTGATGAGTTGATTTTATTTTAGTGAGCTGCTTAATTACACGTATTTCATCCACTATTGGAATATATGAAAATAGGATTAAGTCAAACAGCTGGCAATTTTCCCTTTAAAAAAAATATCTGTCATATGTAATCAGCTGTGATTTTGATTCGCTTACCCGAGGAATTAAATGTTTTCGTCGTTCGAACTGTCCCGTTGTTTCCTAATTTAAAAGGTGTAAAAATATGTAATTAGATACTTCAACCATCTGTAGAACAGAGTAAAACATCATTGAGTGTCATTCACTGTCAGTGAGGTCGTATAATAATGGATTACTTTATGTCACTCCATTCTAAGAACCAATTTCTATTTTTTTTTTTGTGATCAAGAGATTTATTAAGATGTTAATTTAGCATTAAGCATTCCAATCGAATGATCTTCTCACTAAGCATAATATTTTGTCTTGCCAATGCATGTCTTTCAACTAGACAGGAACCAGTGATAGCTCTTGATAAGATCTCTTGCACTTGAAACCATGTTCATGCAATGTCTAAATGCCTGGTGGTCAGTGTAAATGCATGGCAGTTAGAAATTTTTTGTTTGTTCGGAAATGTCAAGCGATTCAAAAAATTACTAATTCTGAGGTTGTGCATACTGTAAAATTGCTAAGTTTAGAAAACGTTTTTGATCTGGAGATTTTATGGTATCCACAAGCTTGGGAAATTTGTTCATGTCATGAAAAATTGCACTGTCTTCTTATTTGCATTATTGTGTTTGTGCTTCTGGAACATCCTTATTCATAGTCATTAGTTTGAGTTTTTTTTCGGTGGGCATGGGTTATTATTATTCTTTGTATTTTCAGCAAAATATTTGTAATCCCTTGAGCTGTAGTTTTATGATTTTATTGTTCAGTTCCCTTTAGTTTGGTAGATAGCTCTCCAGTTTGTCGCTTACTTTGTTTAAATAAATTTCTGACTTTGTTAAGTCCTTGGGTTCTTTTAATGACTCATGTTTTTTGGATATAATTTTGCTTTTATGATATTAAACTTGTTTTTACTGAGAATCCTGCGTAAATTTGCCTTCACATTTGCTTGGCATTTCTAAATGAACATTGAACACTCTCATTAGGTTTGCACAAGTTATTTTGTGAGAATTTAGTGAATATTTCTGACTGCCAGGTACAGTCTCAATTAGACAAACTACCAGGCAGTCAGAGGAAATTTCTGACTGGTGGAAATTTAGTTAATTTAGTCTGTGTACAGCCTGTTGGGTATTTAGACACAACACCATTTTAAATCTAAGCAAAAGAGCATTTGAGAAAAGAAACTTAGGTGTGTGCTTGCCATATTCTGTAGACCAGTCTGTTGTATTTTCCAAAATGAATATAGACTTTCTAACATGCTTTAGTCTTGCTTGGAGTGTATTGTTGAAAGGAATTTACATAATATTTGTAAAACAGCTAGATTTAAAAAAGAATTTTGATAAAATGATCTTTATTAGGGCTCCAAGAAGGCTTTTCAGTCCTAATTTACACAATTGCATTGGTTATATTGTCTACTGATATAGGAAATTAATAGTATCCACAAGTTTGGAAAAGTTTTCCATTTAAAAAAACATGGTGATCTTTTCGGAATTGCATGAATTGTCGTGTGGGAATTTGGTGAAAACACATCTCCTTTAAAATTAGTCACACGACTTTGTGCTACACTGTAGATCAAAATAACAACAACTTCTACCTGATAAGTTTGAGTATTCTCATTATCTGTTTGCTGCATAATGTATGGATATGATAGGGAGAAGTTAAGTTTTAATCACTTCTGGGAGTCATAAGTTACATAGTTACAACCATGGGTAAGGATAGAAAGGATAATAATTGTAAGTTGGATTGCAAAATATTTCTTCAACATTTTTCAAGATGTGCAAATGATGATGTTGTTCCATTAACCCGTTAATAGCCGCAGCTTTTGTGAAAAACTGTGTTTTGAAGCTAGTCGAGCAGATTTCGGGTCACTGTTGTGGTTTTAAAAGCTCAAACTTACCACAAACCCATAGACAGCTTGTACACTCGATGGTCTTTCGATCCAAATGCAAAATGGTGGCCTGAAAATCTCAGGCACGCACAGAAAGCAAAATTTCGAGATAGTTTTTGGGTTGAAAAGTAATGCCCCACTTACGACTTTTACTTTTCTCTCTTTCTCCTGCCCTTTTTTACCCCTCTTGCCTGAAGTTTCTCCTCATTTGCTGGAAATTTAGTAGGCTTCATTTTGGTGTGGAGATTTTTTAGGAAACTAGTCATTATTTTCAAACCACATGCTCAGAAAGGTAGGTGGGTAATGGAACAAGATTTTCGTGCAGATTTTCAGGTCAAAGTTACATGGTTTTTTGGCTATTTTTCCAATCTCCTTCACTCAATTGCACTCATTCTGGTATCGTTTGTAACATATTTTCAACCTGTTCAAGTACGTGCTCAAAGTCGTGCTCCAGGGTTAAAAGTGATGGCGTCACAAGGCATGGAAAGGGTGTGGGTCCACATGGGCGCTTACGGGCGCACTGGACGTCAATAGGTTAAAGCGTATTCTTTCTTATTTACTTACTGTTTGTTATTCTTGATATCTAGATGTATGGTCGTTTTACAACCACACAACTTCAGAAGTATGCTAAAGAGCAAGGAGCACGGCTACGAAGAGAACAGCAGCAAAGGAGAGAAGAACACTTAGAAGGAGAGGATGACTTCAGAAGTTATGACAGTTCATGGTTGGGACCAGTGAAAAGTGAGTAAACTTAAGCTGGAACAATTATCTTTATTGAATAATGTTCAAGCTTAGAGGAATAACTACTCCATCATGATAGTGTGAATTTTTATGAATATCTTGATCCTTATCTCACAATATCTTGTTCTCACAACAAGTTTTAGAAATTTAACTTGAATTGAGTTTGTCTGATGGTGGTACTAAATTCGTGAAATGAGGTGCATCAACTTTTTTTGGGTGCTCTACAAGCAAAGAAGTTTTTTTCAGGAGACTAGTTGCAGCAACTTTTTGCCTAAATAAATGTGTTTTTCCCTTATTCTCTAACATTTTATCTACCAGCCATCAAAATTACATTTTGTACAGCAACCACTTAATAGACCTCAAAGAGTTTTTAATCATCATTTCAGTGTAATGGTAGTTTAATGTAGGTGTGAGAGAGTGGTTGTTTGGGTTTGGGTTTTTTGGGGTTTTGGGCATCCAATTTAACCCAAGACCAACAAAATTAGTCAAAGCACCCCCATCACTCCTTGGAGTACTGGATTCTACTAGATTGTAGATGTCTGATACAGCACTGTTCATTTAACATTGCATATATATAGGAACAGGAAGGTGCTTAGTTTGAATATAAATGACAGAATTCTATGAAGTGGGAGAGGAAAGGTGGTACAATCCTTATTTTTTCTCAGCCTCTTATGTCGTTTTACAAACATATGGACAATAAGTTATACAATTTCTGGGAGAAACAAGAAAGTTGATGCATGATGTTAAAGGAATCAGGTGGTGGAAATCTCAATGCTTTCCTTAGATGACCTTTAAATTACTCTATTGAGACAGTGAGAAGGAAATTTTATGTTTCTTGACCATTAACTTCAATGGTGAATGGTATTTTTTCATTAAACTGATTCATCTCTAGTCTGATTCTAAGGGAAAAAGTTAAATTATTCCCTTGGGATTCTTAAATTTTCTAAAGATTAAATACCCCTTCCTCTAAATGCATAGTAAAGAATGTGAGTACCTTGTTACATTACATTTTGCAGCCCATTAATTTCTCAAATTTTGTAATGGGAAGAAAAAAAAACATAAAAGTTAACATGACAGGAAATTACAGTGCACGTGTCATTATGCAAAATTTATGTGAAAGAACAAGAGAAAGAAGGAAATTGATTGAAGTTACTGGGTGAGAACTATTACTCCATGTGATTCCATTGTAAGAATTAACTAACTATAGACAAATAACTTGTTCAAGGGAAAATGATGTTAATTATTTTCTGTGTAATACAAGTTTAATTTGTCATAAATGTTTGGGAGTATTAAAAAACAAAGCGCTTTGGATGATAAATGCTTTTTAATTGATCATATAAGGGGCAAGATTACTGAATTGTGATTGGTCACGACAGAGGGCATTTTTTCTTAATTTTTGTAATTACCCCAGGAAAAATTAGTTGAAAATGATTGGCTGAAAATCGCTTAGCAACAGCTGCCAAGGAAAAGAAATTTCTGTTTGTTTTGTAACAATGGCGTCCCATTTTACACGAGATCAGTAAGAAAACATTTTTCCCCTTATATTATAAACAAGTAATNATTAACCAAGCACGAGGGCCGTACTAGGAGAATAATTATCAGCCTGAGGTCTTGACAGTACGGACCGAGCGCCGATATTCATCCAGTACAGTCCCAAGCAAGCTTGGTTAATAAGAGATTTATTATACGACTGAAGTTCAAAGGGACACAAGTGCAGTATCATTCGGGACCATTCAGGACAGTGCCCGGTCCAATTCTGAGAGAATATTGATGGGCAATAGAGCATTTTGATTGGTTGATTTTAGTTATTGGCCCTCTGACTGCCCGAGTCGTGTAATAATAAATGGTTACAAATTTCAAAGCTCCACTTGTTAAAGCCTCCTCTTTAATTTATCATATACTTTACTATCATTCATACTGTCTTACAAATACCAAGGCATACATGTACAAGAGTCTAGCTCATTCTCCTGATTTAATCTCTATATTGAAAAGAGCCTGAGACATCTCAGTTATCCAACATATATCAAGGTAGTGATGAAGTGAAGTAACAGCACATTGCACAGAAAGTTCAAAAGTCAGACTTGAGAAATGTAATGAAGAGTGAAAGTTCTCCACATTCTGTCTTGATATGTCCATGAATGTCCAAAGAGCATGAATAATACAGAAGGCTATTAATACTGGTGAACAAACAGTTGCTCATGAGAAGAAAAACAATATCATGTTGAGCAAGAGAGATGTATCACCAGGGAACTGGTAACCATAATGAGGTGACAAGTCATAATGTGCATATAATATGTGCTAGATCATCAAGCAGAAGTTTTCTTTTCTAATGTTCTGCAAGACGGTTGATAATATGTATGTGTATGTACACATTAATTTGGTCCTTCAATGTTTCTTGAACTCTGAAGACCTGCCATGAAGAAATATGTGTAGCATTTTGAAAGGCCAAGCCATATCAACACAGAAACTCCAAATATGATAACAATGGGAAGGCATATAATCCACATGAAGACAATACAAATAGCACAAGGGATTGATTTTCCTTTTGGGGAGTACCACATGTCTGGTCCAAATATTCCTTTTGATTCTTCCTTAGCATCTTCACCTTTAAAATCATCTTGTTTCTGAGTGAAAGACAAAAAAATTGGAATAATAATGGTAATGTCTTTTTCCCATTGGACATGTGGTAGATAGATACTTTAGATAGATGACCTTTATTTATACGTGATAATAATTTAAGCTACAAGCTTGTGGTGGCATAATGGTTGGTGTGTTTGATTGCTGATTCAAGGGGTCCAAATAAAGGCCCTGACTATATCACAGTCTGTTCTTAGGAAAAACACCATGAGCTGTCAGAGTCTCTCTCCATCTTGGCATGTTAGTGGAAAGCAAAAAAATTTCATGATAATCTGAAGAATTGCTGAGAGTAACTTGTGATAAACTAGCCTACCATTCAGGGCGAACAATAGTATTCCTTGTCCTTAAAACTACTGAAACTTGACTGAGTCATTTACCGTCTTCTCAGACCTTATCTTTGTTTTTCTCACTTTATATTATGATTTCCTGTTGAATCAAAGTTTTATTGCTTACTTCACACAAGCACCTATAAGGCAACAATTTGAAGTACCAGAACACTTCCCATTCTTATGGAGTAAGTTCTTTTAGCATTTGAGGCATGTGGACCTGTTCTTTTCTGTTTTGTGGAAGAGTTTTTCTTGCATTGAAACTAAAAATGAGTTTCAATTCGTCATGAATTTGAAAGCAGTGATTCTCTTTCGTATAGTATGTTGGTATAAAATGAGAAACAAAACGAAGAAGCTAAAAAGTTCGGTTTACTCCTTTGCCAACCGTCCATTCCAGTTTTGATTTTCCAAATACATCTCGAGATAGAGAGAGGCATAAAGGTACAGCAACTTGCGCCCGAAAATGCCTTGATTGAAACGTTTAGAAGCATTTACGAGGTCGTTTTTTAAGATCATCCGAGAAGTTTTACAATAAACTTGGATTTATCTCCATCAAAACTGTAGTTATTCAATCGCGTGAACAAAGAGGTGGGTTGTTTTCGGTGCCATTTTGATCCGAACGGATTGTGTGGCCGATGGGAATTCGCTCTAAGCTGAATCAATTCGTTCGTTTCGATGCAAACAAAAGGCATTTTAAGGCGATCGCTCGCGTGAAAATCGACTGAAACTGTGATGAAATCTTGCAGTCGTGAAAGATTCCGAACTCATCGTAGTGGAAAGTACATAAATTGTCGATCGCTTGTACATTGAAGTTGTACCGATCACGTTATTCACAGTTTAATGTCACATTTCAGGCATTCGTTTCGAATGAAAAATGATAAAATTTACATGACATGTTCCTAATTCTCGAAATGACTGAATCAGCAAAAGGTAACCAACTAGGAAGGACGATAAAAGTGTCGATCGATGAAAGAAGACTTAGAATTCCAATCGTTGCTGGAGTGAAAGCGACCTCCAAAATAATCACAGAAACCCAGCTTGCATTTTCGTCTGCAGAATTGTTTTGTTTGTCGTCCATGTTTACTTACTTCAGCATCAGCAGAGGAAGTCATGCTTGTGGAGAGAAACTTGCTAAAAAATCGAGGCGTCGGTTAATTACGAGGCTTTCAAGAGCTGTTCGCGTGTGTGCCGGACTACACTTCGATCTCTCGACTTTGTAATGAGTGTAGCTAAATGTCGTGGGTAATGGGTAGAGGTCGTGGGTAAATGTCGTGGGTAAATGTCGTGGGTAAGAATTTCAAAGACTATAATGATAAAAATAAAAGTGAGAAATAAATAAAATAGAATTATAGTTATAAAATTACAAGATCAAACTCACTTCTAAGAAATATTTCAGTTACCAATCCCCTCCCCCACCCCCACAGTCAGTTAAAGGCGGATCCACAGCACACAGGTTCACCAGAAAGGCCTTGGGCACTTCACAGGTGTTTTTTTTTTTTTCGCCTTGACAGGCTAGCACTTCAATATTTGAGGATGAATTTAAAATGTCTTGGGTTAAAAAAAACATAAAAAGGTTGCAAAATTATATTAACAACTGTACGGTGCGTCAAAATAATTATTGTGTTCGTAAAAATTTCATGCATAACATTTCGCATTAAAATGGAGGGATTACGATCTTTTCGTCCAGAAGTCTTTTCGTCCAAGTCTTTTCGTCCAAGTCTTTTCGTCCAAGTCTTTTCGTCCAAGTCTTTTCGTCCAAAAGTCTTTTTGTCCAAGTCTTTTGGTCCAAAAGTATTTTCACCTAAGTCTGTTCGTTTACTTGTTAAGTCCTTTCTGGAAGCAAGTAAATAACTTTTAGAAGGCAAGATAAGGCTAATATATAAAGAACTTGTTGCAAGCCGCCGCCATTTGGGTATGTCAGACACGTGGTGATGTTACACTTCGTTGCCTTTTACGCTTAACAACGAGCCTAATATTCCCATTTCTTTCGCGAGAAATAATTAAACGGCAAGCAAGTCTTTTTCTTTTTTTTTTGCCACTATTTAATAAAATATGTTGCCTTACAACTTCATTCATTCTTAGTCTCCCTTGCAGCCCTTTCCGGCGTTGTCACGCAAGCAAAAACTCCCCAACCAACGGCTGCTCACATCATAGTTAGTAGTGCTCACATTCAAACAACATTCCTTTCCAGAAATTGGCCAATCAGCATTTACTTACCATATTCTGGAAAGCGTTCGCACCTCAATAATCAAACCAATCACAGAGTTCGTATTATCCAAGCATTGAAACTGACAAAATGAAGACGCTTTCAATGTTAGGATGTAACTTCTCTAAACTGATTATTTTTTTAAAAATGGTTTATGTTGCAGGGTTTGTTGAGAGATTGAGACCTTGCTGGAGTCGTTTGGGAAGTGATTGGGTGTTTCTTCTGTTCCTCGGAATAGTCATGGCACTTATAAGTTTTGTGCTCGACTTGGCCATTGATAAGTGCCAAACAGGTGTGTTAAGATAAATTGATTTTTACCTTTAATTTGTATATTTTGTTTTGTTTGTTTGTTTGTCAAGAATTTGGCTCTCTTGAAAGCAGGTTCAAAACAGGGTTGGAGATGAGGTGTGGGAAATAAGGGTAAAAAAGAGGCTTTGTAGTGAAGATGGGGTCAGAGGTTTAGTCTGAGGAGCACAGTGTTGTATAAGAGAGATAAAGCCATTGACAAGGGTGAGGCTGAGCTGTGAATGGATATAGATGAGAGGTCAGGGCCAGTTAAAAGTGTTAAGGTATAACTAATAAGGGTTCCAGACAAGAGGTGAGAGATGAGGGTAAAGAATAGTAGGGCTGCGGTCTAGCAGTGCCCGGTGGCCCCTGGCGCCCTACCTTTTTTCTTGGGTGACTTAGGAATTTTGTTTTTTTCATATAGAAGTATATGCTGGGTGCCCTGCATTTCAAAGTTTCAGAGCAGTGGGCCCCCTTCGCTTTTTTTTAGAACACAGAATTGAATATGCTGCTTGATTTGGAGTCAAGGGGCTAGAGATATGCAGGAGATAGCTGCTGCAGGGGTAGGTATCAGTGATAGGACTGAGGGGTGATGTTTATGGATAAGGGGTAGGACTGAGGGGTGAAAGATAGCAGAAGAGGTGGGAACTTGTGATAGGGAGGGTTGGAGGGCTCCAGGTAAGAGCTGAGGGTTGGGGTTGAAGGATTAGAGCTAGCAAATAGGTTCAAGGGGCTCAGGGTTAGAATAAGTACAGTGGCTGAAGTGTAAATGAGAGGAGAAGGATAGAAATAAAGGATAGTGTTGAAGGGTGTTGGTCTGTAGATTGGGGATAAGGTGGGAGGTTGGAGATGACTATAAATACATATAACAAAAGGGTCCATAGAAATTTATAGGCCCCCTTTCCTCATGGACTAGAAATTTCTCTGAAATTTTGTGGTAACATATTGTTGAAATTATGAATCAATCATTAAATTATTCAGTGTTTTGACTTTTCAGCTCATATTTGGCTTTTTAATTTACCAAGCAACACCTTCCTTCAGTACATTGTGTGGACATCATTTCCATTATGCCTTGTTACCTTTTCTGTTGGATTCACTCATCTAGTTTCTCCACATGCTATAGGTATGTTCTTTAAACAAGTCCTGGAATTCTGCTTAAATTAAGCTATAAAGTTTTAGAATCTTTGTTATTATAATAAATGTACTGTATGTAGACTGTAAGAGTCCTGGAATCAATCTGTGTTTTGGAGAGGTCCTGTGGGAAAGTCCTCGAAATTTTTTTTTCGGAAAAAGGGTACAAAGCCTATCTTTTGTTCAATATGTGCTTATATCAAACAGGTGAATAAAGGCTGATAGTTTCGAAAGAAACTGTTTGGGGCTGTGTCGGTGGGGGTAACGAAATAATTTGGATATATCAACAAAGTTGAAATGGTAAATTGGCCACCGTAACGATTACAAAAGCTGATGTTTCGAGCGTTAGCCCTTCACTCCGACGAAGGGCTAACGCTCGAAACATCAGCTTTTGTAATCGTTACGGTGGCCAATTTACCATTTCAACTTTGTTGATATATCCAAATTATATCAAACAGGGCTTGTTATTAAAACAAATTGTAACCCATATTCATACAAACTGCACTCTAAAAAATCTTAAATCAAGCAGAAAATATCACTAAAATATTTAAACTTCTGCAAAGCTGTCCAAAGGGCTTTTATTTAACATTAAAAGAAAAATCTAATTACTTCAAAATCTCACCTATGTTGAACTTTCAAAGTCCACTTTCCAAGGCTCAACATATTATTATGAAATAGTTTCTTAATTATCAGAAACATTTATCTAGTGACTATCTGATCCAAATACACTGATCTAGGTTCCATGATGTTGTCATTAGCACCAGTGAAGCAGCAGCAATTCTATTTATTTCATTAACTGTATGCTTGCCCAGCCATATAAGTTATTATAAGTTAATAATTCAAGCTTAGAGGGTTGTGTGTTCCTGTAAAGGAAACTAAACATTTACAATTAAATAAATTATACAATTCTGTTTATCAATTAAAGAATCATTTGACTGGTTGGTCAATTTGATTAATTGTGAAGTGTTACTATAATCATAAAATTGATATAAAATTTAAGTATAATTATTTGTCAACTCTTAATTTTTGGCAGAAGAATTTATTTAGCAAACATTTTGATATCCTGGCTTGTATCTTTATAGGTTCAGGTATTCCTGAGATGAAGGTTATCTTAAGGGGCACAGTTATGAAGCGCTACTTGTCACTAAGAACATTGATTGCAAAAGTGGTATGTTAAAGGTTTACTTTGGTCAGTAGTCTGATAAAGTGATGTCCATTTTGTCACAGTGACTATAATTTTTTATTTCTGTCTTGACTATTGTATACATTACATATTGAGTTACCAGTTAAAAGGGCTTTGTGGAACTTTTCACCAGGTATTTGTTTACCTTTCTAAACTACCCAATAAATCTGAAAGAGATAAACCCAAGACATCTAATTTCTTCTTTCATTATTTCACCCCTGAATGATCACAAACCAAAGAAGCTCTGGATTGGTAAACAAATTCTCCTTGTCAGCACCTCAAGAATTGTATATAGAACAGTATGGAAAATATGAATACTGATTTTAGGGTGTTAAGGGCCGGGTCAAAACACATCACAGAGTAAAGGCTGATAGTTTCGAAAGAAACTGTTTGGGGCTGCGTCGGTGGGAGTAACGAAATAATTTGGATATATCAACAAAGTTGAAATGGTAAATTGGCCACCGTAATGATTACAAAAGCTGACGTTTCGAGCGTTAGCCCTTCGTCACAGAGTAGCCTGGTAACAAAGAAAAAGAACAAAAAAGAAACACTATCAAGGATAATTACAGAATTATGAAGGATCAGGGAAATGGAAATTCTTAAAATAGCTGGTAGATGACATTTTGATAATGAAGCCAGGCTAATTTACTGAAGTTAAGCAAGCTGGGATGTAGCTTCTTTAAGATATTCATCCTGCTCAAGGAGATAGCAGTGTGACTAGGTACTGTTTGGCCTTGTCAAAGTTAATGTTGAATGTCATGATTTCAAATTATAATGATAATCCACTTTCTTTTGTCTCTTGTCTTGTATAGGTTGGTCTTCTTACAGCTCTTGGAAGTAGTATTCCAATTGGAAAAGAAGTGAGTGTTGGTTTTACTGTGATGTGTAGATGTAAGAGAGAGATAAAAAACCCATTGATTTTTTTCCTGGTCGTGGAACTTGATACTTACAAATGTTTACTTTTCACTTTTTTGTTTATCAACAGGGTCCTTTTGTTCACATAGCCAGTATGGTGGCACGATCTATGGGAAAATTTGTGGCATCATTCAAAGGCATATACACGGTAAGGTTTTTTTGTTCTTCCCAGTATTGGTTAGAAGGCAATCTTTCAATTCTGAAAGTGTGGCTTATTTGAAGGAAAATAGACAGGTGTGATTTAATTTGCATCTTTTATTTTATAGAATGAGTCCAGAAATACAGAGATGTTAGCAGCAGCATGTGCTGTTGGTGTTTCAAGCTGTTTTGGTTCTCCTATTGGAGGTAAACACAGTGACTCCTGATTCATGCTTTGTTAACTTTATAATGCACCAGTTTTGGGATAATTCCTGTCTCTTGTACCAGGATGCATTTACCCTTCACACCCTTGCATTAGTATGCATATTCTCCATACTTTTCTCTAATACGTTTCCTGAGGTGCTGACTAGGAGAAATTGTTTAACAACCAAGCGTCTCTTTAGTTGGTGATCATTTTCTCTATTCTCATGACCTTAATGTGTGATTCAGAAGTGATATTGTAAGGAGAAATTAGATCTAGATCTTTATTGTGAACAGAAACATTTTGTTGCATTCTCCTTGTGGAATGCTATTTTCAAATTTATTTAATACATAGCTAGTGTTCGTAGGTCCTGAATTACCCATTTTACCCATTGAGCAGTTTTCGTCAGTAAAAAGTTAAAAAAAAGTTAACTTAAGTTTGTTCTTTCTTTCAAGGGGTACTATTCAGTATTGAAGTTACTGCCACTTACTTTGCTGTTCGAAATTACTGGCGTGGCTTTTTTGCTGCTGTCTGTGGAGCCCTTATGTTTCGTCTACTAGCTGTGTTTGATCAAGAAGAAGGTATGACCATTTTAAATGACAACATACAAGTCACTGTTGATAGAAACAACTTTTTATGCCTTGGACACTTGAATATTTTGATATGTTATTGAAACTCTGTCCATTTCTTCATCAGAAACTGTCACGGCTCTCTTTAAGACTAATTTTAGACTGGACTTTCCATTTGATGTGGAAGAGTTCATTGCATTTGCATCAATAGGGTAAGAACGTCAGTAATGGATATCATGGTTTTCTGTTTTTATCACCACATTTTGTCATCATCCGTGATCTATTACTGAACAGATACATGTACTACAACATAGAATCTATTTGTAGATTTACACAATGACAATTGTAAGAAATTTGTAAAATCATACTTTTTAGACGTATATGAGAACGATCCTTCGCAGTAAAGCACTATTTGAGCAATAGTGAAAATCAGACCTGAAAAAAATTTCAGGCCTGTACGGGATTCGAACCACTGACCACTGAACCACTGACCTGTTTGTTGTTGTTTGATTTATCATCTACGGATTTATATCGAATTAATTTGATGGCCAGCTCCCAGTTGGCTTGTTAGCTCAATTGGTAGAGCGCTGCACTAGTATCGCAGAGGTCAGTGGTTCGAATCCCGTACAGGCCTGAAATTTTTTTCAGGTCTGATTTTCACTATTGCTCAAATAGTGCTTTACTGCGAAGGATCGTTCTCATATACGTCTAAAAAGTATGATTTTACAAATTTCTTACAATTGTCATTGTGTAAATCTACAAATAGATTCTATGTTGTAGTACATGTATCTGTTCAGTAATAGATCACGGATGATGACAAAATGTGGTGATAAAAACAGAAAACCATGATATCCATTACTGACGTTCTTACCCTATTGATGCAAATGCAATGAACTCTTCCACATCAAATGGAAAGTCCAGTCTAAAATTAGTCTTAAAGAGAGCCGTGACAGTTTCTGATGAAGAAATGGACAGAGTTTCAATAACATATCAAAATATTCAAGTGTCCAAGGCATAAAAAGTTGTTTCTATCAANCATATGTTTCATATGTTTGTTGTTGTTTGATTTATCATCTACGGGTTTATATCGAATTAATTTGATGGCCTGCTCCCAGTTGGCTTGTTAGCTCAATTGGTAGAGCGCTGCACTAGTATCGCAGAGGTCAGTGGTTCGAATCCCGTACAGGCCTGAAATTTTTTTCAGGTCTGATTTTCACTATTGCTCAAATAGTGCTTTACTGCGAAGGATCGTTCTCATATACGTCTCATAACCGCAGTTCACACATATGTTTCATATGTTTGTTGTTGTTTGATTTATCATCTACGGGTTTATATCGAATTAATTTGATGGCCTGCTCCCAGTTGGCTTGTTAGCTCAATTGGTAGAGCGCTGCACTAGTATCGCAGAGGTCAGTGGTTCGAATCCCGTACAGGCCTGAAATTTTTTTCAGGTCTGATTTTCACTATTGCTCAAATAGTGCTTTACTGCGAAGGATCGTTCTCATATACGTCTCATAACCGCAGTTCACACATATGTTTCATATGTTTGTTGTTGTTTGATTTATCATCTACGGGTTTATGTCGAATTAATTTGATGGCCTGCTCCCAGTTGGCTTGTTAGCTCAATTGGTAGAGCGCTGCACTAGTATCGCAGAGGTCAGTGGTTCGAATCCCGTACAGGCCTGAAATTTTTTTCAGGTCTGATTTTCACTATTGCTCAAATAGTGCTTTACTGCGAAGGATCGTTCTCATATACGTCTCATAACCGCAGTTCACACATATGTTTCATATGTTTGTTGTTGTTTGATTTATCATCTACGGGTTTATATCGAATTAATTTGATGGCCTGCTCCCAGTTGGCTTGTTAGCTCAATTGGTAGAGCGCTGCACTAGTATCGCAGAGGTCAGTGGTTCGAATCCCGTACAGGCCTGAAATTTTTTTCAGGTCTGATTTTCACTATTGCTCAAATAGTGCTTTACTGCGAAGGATCGTTCTCATATACGTCTCATAACCGCAGTTCACACATATGTTTCATATGTTTGTTGTTCATACTTTTTAGGTTGTTTTGTGGCTTTGGGGGAGCCTTGTTTGTCTTTACACACAGAAAACTTGTTGACATTCAGAGAACTCACAAACATACTAAGGTGGCAAAGTTTCTTGCTAGAAAGTAAGTTTCTTATTTATATGTCTTGAGTATCTTAGTAGTTCTCTCTCTCCCAATATTGAACCCTTTGCACCCTTGCATCAGAATGGATTGCATATTCTCCATACCATTCTCTTTGTATTTCCTAAGATGCTGACAAGGAGAATTTGTTTAACAATCAAGAGCTTCATAGTTGGTGATAATTCCCAAATTTTCGTGACCTTGATGTTTGTTTCATGGGTGACATATTATTGTAAGAAGAAATTAAATGCTAGTCACTTTTAGAGGTCAAAGGATTATATATCAGTTCTCCCCACTGTTTTAGGTGTTGAAATCAAACAATATCCTCAAGTGCATAATTTTTTGTTACTTCTTGTCGCTTTTCTGCTCCAACAAGTATTAATATTGCATGGGGAAACTCATTTTTGGTTATCCCTGGGGATGGGAGTGTTGGTTATCCCTGGGGATGGAAGTGTTGGTTATCCCTGGGGATGGAAGTGTTGGTTATCCCTGGGGATGGAAGTGTTGGTTATCCCTGGGGATGGAAGTGTTGTGGTACCCATAATTGTTAAACTGATGTAGTCCGCGATACTCTGTTGACAGTGAGGACTTAAATAAATATAGCCATCCAAGTTATTAAACATTTTAATTTTAAAAATGGTGTTTGATAACCACTTGATCATATTTCTCTCTAAAATAGATTTAATTCTAATTCTATTAATTACTCCAGCCTACAATTAGGTCTTTTCATTTTCGCTAAAAAATCTCAAAACTGGCCTTACATGCAGTGAAAGGGAATTACATACAGAAGTTAAGATACCAAAGCTGATATTTGAAATGCAATTCTTTTTTGTTGCAGCCGGTTTGTATATCCAGCTGTTGTTGTCTTTATCATTGCAACAATCACTTTTCCCAAAGGACTTGGACAGTTCATGGCTGGAGAGGTGAGTCTAGTGTATTTATGGTGTTAAATCAACTTGTGGTGCAAAGCTTTCTTGGTCTAGACTCTCTCAATTGAGGTCGATTTTGTATTTATTTGTCCATTATTAATTTTATTAAAATTGTAATCTAAAACAAGGTGGGAAATAGAAGCAAACTGGTCAAAAAAATTTAAAACAAGGAGAATGAAGAAAATGATCACCAACTAAAGAAGCTCTTGATTGTTGAACTAATTCTCCTTGTCAGCACCTTAAGGAATTTACACAGAACAGTACAGAGAACATACATGCTGATGTCAGAGTGTAAAGGGTAAATCAGGGCCAACTGTTAAATAGAGGTTGACTTGAATTCAGAGCATGACTGGATTAATATTAAAAGTGCTATAATGGAAAACAATATGGATCATATTTTAAATCTCAAATTGCTAACTACATCCATTTCAGTAACGTATAATAGATTGTAAGTTTTAGAGGTTTGTGCTTGCCAACAGAGTAAGTAAGGCAAAGGCTTTTCTCAGTACTTAATGTCTTTTGTAACTATGTACATTTTCTATAAAAGTTTGCAAAACTCATATTGAAATTGTTGTTGATAGTTGACTCAAAAGCAAGCAATAGATGAACTGTTTATAAACATCACGTGGTCTGAAGCCCTAGATTCTGATGATCAAGCTAGTTTGAATGTCTTAAAGCACTGGGATGGAGCCAACACCAATATCTATGTCACCTTAGTTATATTTATTGTCCTGAAGGTATGTGTAATTAGCAGAAAAGGTGTTACAATGTTTAGTTCCCCTGTATCAAAAATAATTATGTTGTTGTTAATGCTCTCATATGCATGGGATTTCTTTTTTCTTTTTTTTTTTTTTAATTGTCAACAATTCACCATCATGATGCCAATTTTTGTGGCTAGGTTTTGAAAATAACTGATTTTTGTAGAAACAATGTCTAATAATATTATATAATGAAACTTTGAAAACCAAAACACATGGATACGATTCTGACGGGTCAATTGTAATCACTGACAAATCAAGATAAAGTTCAGAAAATAAGGACAAACTTCAAAAAGCTTATTACCATTGCTGTTTGCAGTTCAGTTTTTCTTATGGCTGATGGGCTTTCCCCTCAAAGCACAGTGACATTCCATAAGTATTTTCAGTGTTCATTGTTTTCTGTTGAATTTCACAGTAAACTGTCTGCCAGCACCAGATTGTCATCCAGCAGAGTTGCATTAAAATTTCCTATAAAATGCATAATTTTGTTTGAATAATTAATTTTCTTTTCATTTAAAATTGTGATCATTTAAAACTGTGATCAGTTTCCTTGACAAGATAGCAGAACCTCTTTAAAAAAATTGCCTCGCTCCTAGCTTGTAGCTTTATAGTTTAGGAGGCAGCTGCCTTAATTAGTATGTCAAGCTTTATTGGGCAAGATCAAACTGAAAATATACATACTTTTATATTAATTAAAACCCAAAAGGTATGGGCATGAATGGGACACTCAGACCCATATGGGGTGCCTACCCTAGGAGAATTAGCCTCTGAAAGGCAAGGGTTTGAATCCCCTCTGAGCCTGTGAAATTTCTACCGATGCTTAAATGGTAGCACACCTGCAAGGATCATCATTCATTCCTTTACTTTCAACACATAATGCACACTTATGTCCTTTTCTTTTCAGTTCATTATGACAGCTGTATCAGTTACATTACCCTTTCCTGCCGGAGTCTTCTTTCCTGTATTTTTAATAGGTATGGCAAATTGACACTCGCCAGTAGTTCTCTTTGTTGCATATTTTATTTATGCAATCGTGGAATTAAAATCCCTGTAATGTTAACTCCATCTTCTTGAATGAAATTGTATAGGTGCAGCATTTGGCCGGCTTGTGGGAGAAGCCATGGCGACATGGTTTCCTGATGGTGTGAACTCTGGTGATACAGTTTCACCTGTTGTTCCAGGGGGATATGCTGTTGTTGGTAAGTAGATGAACACAGTGTAAAGCCAGCTACCTCCAATTCAACTTTGAATCAGTGGACAAATATCTACCCTGCAGATTTCTTACTTCTAAGTTATACCTACTTTAATTATTTTTAGTCCATTTATTCATAAAACATCACTCTGTCATATCCATAGCAAATTGTTTGTTAGTTTTGTCGTTAAGTTATGATTTAAAATGGAGAATGACATAATTATAATTGTTTCATGCTCACAGCATGAGAAAGTACAGGTTGAGGCATATTACGTGTATCTTGATTTGACCTTCCATTTACAGCATTTACAACTTCACTCAAGTAACAGACATTTTTAGCCTTTCATCTGGTAACAGACACAGTTTCTCGCACACTTTTTGCAAAATTGAGATTAACTTGAAATTACCTTCAGTTGTCTCTTTCTCATTACTATACATTTCAAACAATGTAAGTTACATCTTGACTTACACGAAATGGAAACAATGTTACAACTAGGAAAAGCTTATTCTATTTTTGTATTTGCCATGAAATACAATGATCTTATTGTCAAAGTCAAGAAATAATTATGAATCTTTGATTATTAGTTTCCATTAATTAGTAGCCACTGACATCATGTTATGGCAACCTTCTATTAACTAACTTACATATGTTTTCTTTGATGGTAAAACAGGAGCAGCAGCTATGTCTGCAGCTGTAACTCACACAATTTCTACATCTGTGATTGTGTTTGAGCTCACAGGACAAATCACTCACATCCTTCCTGTTATGGTATGTCGTATTGCATGTGTATTGCTCTTTGCCCAATTGTGACTAAATTTTGTGTTTGTATGGAAAATATTTATGATAACAATGCATTGTTAATTTTCCCCTACCTCTTCAGTAGTTAAGTAAAACTCCAAACTGGTTAATTAGTAGGGTACTGGTGGCAACTTGTATGCAGGATTATTTGTTCATGATACCACTTGGCTTTCATGAAGCAAGAGACCCATCCCATTGGTACTCCAGTGGTAACATCAGGTGATGTGATAGGCATATGACAGCAAGACATATACAGTAAACTGCTTAAAGCCTGCTGGATATCAGCATAACCACTCTGACCCCTCCCAAATGCAGAGCTAAGCACTGAAAAGGTCGTTAAATAACTTTCTCCCTTTACCAAATGCCCTAAATGGAATAAATGAGAACACTGGAGGTAGTAATGCCTTATTAGAATGATCCCTTATAGTAGAATCCATCAAGCTCATGGCCTCACCTCTAATTGCCATAGCATCTTTCAAAGTTTTTAGAACCTCAAAGACATAAGATTCCCAGCTATTCGTGATCATCAAAGTAATGTAATTAGTGACGCTTTCAGGTTTGTTGATTGTCAGTGGTAGAGTTTAAGTGTAGCTTACTTTAAATTTGTTATTCTTTAGATTGCTGTTTTAATCGCTAATGCCGTTGCACAGTGGTTGCAGCCATCATTTTATGACAGCATTATTCAAATCAAGAGGTTGCCATACCTGCCTGACTTAACAAAAACTCAGTATGTACATTAACTTTCTTTGAACTCTCCTTTATGATTAATATTACCTACCACTAACTGACCAAGGAAAATTGTAATCGTTTATTTAGAGTCTTTGTCAATTGCCATGAGCAACTGTTTTTTTGACAACTAAAGAACAAGGTTTTTGCAAATTTGTCTTTAACTTTAATTGTCTTTCTTTAACAGGGTGTACAACCTACTTGTAGCTGACATAATGAAGACCAATCTTTTTTACATCTCCTTTCATTCAAAATATGCTGACCTCAAAGAATTACTGGATAAGTCACATCATCGATCATATCCATTAGTGGATTCTGAAGGTGATGCTGAAATATAATGAAGTTTTCCCATGTACATGTAGGGTTTGCGCACATTATGTATATTATAAGAGGTCACGGAAGTTAGTAGTTTCATTTTGCAGCCATTGAAAGTCTCAGAATTTGAATGTAGATTGTGGAAAATAATGAAGTACAACAGAGGATAGTATGTTTGTGTAAGCATTAAATGCAAGCTTACAGACATTTTCAATTTTATGTTTATACAAACATGAAAAAAGTCCCAAGAAAGGTAATAGTAATTAGGTCATGGTATTATATAAGTTTGCAGTTGATTGAAAACTGAGCATAGGTTTTAACTTAAGACCTGGTGGAGCATAAACTTGGGTTGAACTTGGTTTATACAACTCCAGCACCTATTTCCAATAAAGGCAAATGCTCCTAAGACGTCATTGGATGGGTGGGTATTGGCAAAGTTATCTGAAGTCCTAACCCAGACATAAGCTATGTTTATTGGTTGACAGGCCTTTAGTCCTTTCATGGTAACAGTAGAGACCAAACAGATAACTCCTTTAGTTTCAATTGATGTGTTTGATTTGATTATTAGATTCAATGATCCTTCTCGGATCCATTCAGCGACCACAGCTGCAATCTCTTTTAAATCAGCACATGCAAAAACTCTACCAGTCCAGCAGTAATGCTGAGAGTGAAGATGCATTATGTGCCAGGCCAGAAACATCAGATCCTCCACAGTTACAATCTGGGTATGTATTTAAAATGCAGTATGAACTGAAATTTCCTTGATATCTAGCTCATCATTGTTGTAGAGAGATTCTGGGGTGGTGAGGGACCTTGTGTTGTGTTCTGTGGCAAGAAGTTTTGCTCTCTGCACCTTCTCCACCCTGGAGTATAAATGATTTCCAGTGAACTTTCCAGAGAATGTCTGATGAAATTCTGAGTTGATACACTCCCACTGTAGTTTAGACTTTAGACACTATACTCTGGCACTTAGCTACCACCTTGTTTAAGGATAGAACAGGCTTGATTTCTGCTGCTCTCTTGGATCCAGTCTTTCTCGTTCCTCCTCGGGGAGGAGCGCAGGCTCTGGTTCCCGAACAGTGGCTGGTAATCGAGCCTAGGGATAGCATCAAACCTTCTTTCAAGCAGATTAAGTCTGGTAGTATAAGAAATTAGGGATCTAAGTGAACATTCTTGTGCAAATCCATCCAATTTATTGTACCAGTATTATCATCATGTCACATCAAGAGAGGGAGAAAAAATAATGTGGACACATTATGTACACTAATGTATCCATGACTTGTCGATGCCATAAGTGCTTCCTTAATCGACATAAAATTATTTTATTCTTCTTCTTTTGTGTAATGTAGGATGTATTGAAAAAAGTGTAAGCCGAATTATTGGTCTCCTTTGAAGCCATTGTTTTTCTTGTCATCTAATATGCTAAATGTAACAGTTGTGTGGTCTGGTCGCATGAGAGAGGATATGGTATGGTGAGAACAGGCAACAGTTGTTGAGGAGAATGCAAAAAGCTACAAATTAACATATTTGTGAAGTAAGAAACTGGTGTAACATGTGGTTTGCACTGACATTAATTACTAGTTGCTTATAGTCCCTTGCTCCTTCAGGGCTCAAAATAGCAACTTATTCAACTCAGTATGTTATCATGTAAATCTTTTTTTTTTTATACTGATGTTAGCTCTTTGTGTGTACCTACTGAAAAGTTAATCAATTTATAAATACCTCTTTTTTGCTCTGCCTGATATTCACTTTATCATTCTCATCACTCAGTGATCAGAGCAGCAATACCCAACCAGCACCAGTTCAACTGGAAGTAGAGGCTGAAATAACATTAAAGGTGTGGAAATACGAACTAATTGATATTTTTTATAAAGAGAGAGGTAATGGCAAAATAGGAATCATTATTTAAAATCACCAAAAATATTTACAAAAGTTTGATAAAAACCCTAAAAATCGAAAAACACACTTAAATGTCCATCAGAAGCTAAGAAAAACACACCTCGTCTACGTTTACTTCTCGAGCTTGGAACTACTTAGGACACAAATGAAACGTTTACATTGCATAGCAGCAAAGAGTGACAGTGAAATACAACGCCCTATTGTCAAAATTGTTCCCCGTAGAAAGTAATGCCGACGAACTGATCCACCACAAATCGTATTATTTGATTGTTGTTTATTGAGACGATATTGCAATTATTCAATCTGGCAATAGGACGGTACAAGTCGTTTGTATCTATGTATAACTAAATTCTCATACAATGATTTGACTCCAAAATAGCTCAAAAAATATAATTTGACAATCAGATTTTACTTACTTCTGTGGCGGGGTGTTGGCCACAGGTTAGCTTAAAGGCTTGTTTCGGGTTAGCAACTTACGCTAGACCTTTCCTTTTGAAATTGAGTTACTGACTGAAATGTGATGTAAAGGACAAAGCTTAAATGTCAATCAGTGTTCTAAATCACGTGATTCTCGTTCATTTTTAACGAAACAAAAATGAGTAAGGAATCTCGTATCTGTGACATTTTCAAGTATGAAGTTATTAACCTGCTAGATTCAAATAATTTCATTTACTTTGGGAGAAACCCAGAGAGAGAAGCCAAAGCATTCCAATTGAAGAATACGAGGCCTTTCACACCCTCTTTATTTAACTGATTTATTCCTTTTGTTTTGTTTTGTTTTGTTTTTGTTTTTGTTTGTTTTTTCCCATTTAGAGACAAGATAGTCCACTTCAAAAATCCTCAACTGGAAAGTCTTTGCTGGAGAAAATTCCAGGTAATCCTGGCTATTTTATGCGTGGCTAACTTCTCGAATGGAGAACCTTTAACAAAGCAATATACTTTTTAACGTTTTAGCTTGTATGGTCAGATGTAAATTAGAAAACGATTCAAGGAAGAAAATGCTTTGGCTTTCCTGATAGGACCGATTATTTACACTTTGTTTAACCCGAACCGCAGTTTTACGCAAGCAGTGGGCCTTACGTATTCTCTATAAAAGGGTTGTTTCATTGCATAAACGTCCTTCCACTGCCAGCTTTCGACCCTCTTGACACTGTTCCAAAAATTAAGATAGTTTAGAACGCGGTTCTGTTTAACAATGACTAAACTTTGTTTTAATCACCGGCCAAAAATTTGAATGAAACTTTTCCCTTCATAAACCGAGTGCAAGAGTTACTTTGTCATACATTCCTCTTTCACAGCTGGAGACTTACATGCTGAGGGAAAAATCTTCTTAGCTAAGCTTCAGGCCTAGTCTGAAAAGCTTTGGCACTTAAAGATAATTGTGTAAGGGAATTGTAGGGAAGGCGATTGAGACAACTGGTGACATTTTAAGAATTTGATTAGACAGTTCTGATTTCAATGTAGATGTGATAACATTGTAGATGATAACATTACAGATGGTAACAGCTACTTGTTTTTCTCGTAGTTCCTACAAGACTTCACAAACTGTTTGGTAGTGGGTCAGCTCTTAATGAAGCTGAGGTAGGAAAATGAAACCGTATTACTATTTCAATATTTTCACTCGTTTTCATTCTATACGCTTAGCTCTTCTTACATGTTTTATTAATGTTTATAAATGTTTATTCTCAACTCCTTGCTAAGAGTTAATCTCGTTGAATTGACTAGTGAGGGTTTTAGCGCCTTCGCCAAGTGTTGTGAAACTAAAAAACCCCAATTAAACAGAACGGCCAATCAGAACAAAGTCAAAGAGCGGTAAAACTTGAGAGACCAAGTCGCCATATGCATCTAATTGGTTGAGAGTGTCACGACGTGAGTACTGAATATTGATTGTTACTTTTTTTACTTACAGAAAACCTCAGATTCACCGGAAAAAGATGGTCCAACTATGGATCAGGTGAGTCAGTAAGGCCTTACTTTGCCAATATCCGATTTCTAATTCTCCCTTCCGGCAACCATACATTTGCTTGTAAAATGGTTGAAATAATTTAAAATGGCACGACAAAAATAACACTCGCTAGCCGATAAATTTTTCTTATTCTCTTCACTTCTTTTGGTGGAAAGATATTTATGTTGTAAGGAGAAACTTCTTGCTTATCGCCTTATGGGGTAAAACGTACAGTGACGGTGTGTCAAGGTGGAACATGACTGAAGATGTTTGCTTCGATAAACTTGAATTTGTTGTCGATTTTGAACCTTAATTGCGATTGTTGTGCTTCGTGGACAAATATACAAGTCAATAGGTGATGAGCGATTCTAAACGCTCTTACTTTGTTGTATCTATTTATTTACTTTTTTTTTTTTCAGCAACTTCAATGGGAAAAAGAACTCTTGCAGAGACCTATCGACTACAGTAACTGTCAGATTGATCCTTCCCCTTTTCAGTTAGTCGAAAGAACGTCGCTGTTAAAGGTATCGAGAAATACCATATTTACTCAAATAGGCGCCGCGGCGCTGCTAAGATTTTTCGCGCCTCAAGTACGGTGCTTCTTCGAGGGCGGCGCTTCTTCGAGGGCGGCGCTTATTCGAGGGCGGCGCTTTTTCGAGGGCGGCGCTTATTCGAGGGCGGTGCGTATTGAAAAATTAGACGCGACAAAGATTTTCTCTTTTGATTGAACAACATTTTTTTTATCTGTTCAAAAATGTTTTGTAACTAACAGATGCTTTTTGAATTGTCATCTTTCATCTCTCACGAAACTTTCAAATGCATGACCAGTAGTTTTTTCACTCAACTTCGATCTCACTGAACCCTCCCTGATCTTGATGTTTTGAATCTCTCAGGTTCACAAGCTTTTTGCGCTGCTTAACTTGTCACATGCTTATGTGACCACTTTGGGACGATTGGTGGGCGTGGTGGCTCTGAAGGAGGTGAGATAAAAGAAACGAACAGACAAAACAAAAAACCTGAAATTACGTTGAGAAGAGTGTTAACTATGTGGGTTATGAAGAAAAACGTTTTAATTCTTTAAATTTAAATTCTCACGCGCTGTGATTTAGCCACAGGTTGATTGATAGCGTTGCATGATATAAGAACGCGCTACGTTTCATTTGAATTGTTATGAACCAAGCGGTTTTCATTTGAACGGTCACTGACATACTTCAATTCCAAGATTTCTGAGGTTTTAATCACTCGCCTTAAAATAAACAAATGAGAATATTAAATTTTAAACAAGAAAAGTTTAAAAGAGCTGCGTTATTTAGCTTTCAAAAGTTTGATTTAATAGGTTCTTGGTCACTTCTTAGACATAGGAGCTGTTAGTTGATACTGTCTGTCCACTAAATAACTGCCAACGAGATAAATTGATCAAATGTATTTTAACAACAGGTTCGCCAGGCAATCGAGGGTGAGCGCTTCTTGGATGCTTCTCACGTAGACGCAGAAGGCGAAGGCCGCAGCGGCAGTTTTACGTCTCCACGTGCTCAGGATACCATGCTGAAAAGGTGCCCTGAACCCAGTGTCACTAGTGGAGAGTCAGATCCCACGCTGTAAATTGCCAACACCCCGGATAATTTTCACCGACAATGGTGTCGGTGGTAGAGTATTAACCAGTTGCGCAATGAAAGTCAAACCGACGAAATCGGAAGCAGGGTTGGGGTTCTTCTCGTTGCTCCGTCGCCTATGATTTGTAAAAGTTTAATTGTTGGAGCAAAAGGTGCTCGAAGGGCCTGAAACTGGTGTTATGATGGGGTGGTTCATCCGCTTCTACTTACGACTCCAACAATAGATTTCACCAGATCTTAAGTGTCGGAGTCATGAGCGGAATCGAAAGAAAGTGGAAATGTTTTCACTGATAATTCCGACTCAGATTCCGTAAAGCTTACGAACCCCATTCCTACTCCATCGCTAAATGAATACAGCCTTCTAGAAATAAGGTCGTGCTTTAGCCGAATCTAGATTTTGTGGTACGAAAAAGTACGACTCATGGAATGCCGATAGATTTTCAGTCCTGTAGAAACCTCGAGAAGCTTGTATCTGAACGTTCGGTTTTTGCAGTACTCTTTAGAGAAAAAGTATCGGGGAGTGCAGAATTCAATGAACTTCGTCGGGAGATTTTGATTCAATTTTGGCGGCCAAAAAAATTAGAGTTGATTAACGGAAATGAGAATAGTTGGTTGGTGATATCGAAAAGAAGATAATTAAAAATAAAATTGAAAGGAACTAGGTTGTTTAGGCATTTAATTCGATGACTTTTTGAGGTGAATTAACCGTTCTGTTGGTCGTTGAAGCCCGCTAAGGTAAACATGCAGAATAGGTACCATTTTCAGTGTATCGCGTTTTTTAGACGAGTGCGAAGCGGAAGTCGTGCGCGAGGAAGGAGTTACTCCTCCTCTCCCGCGTTACTCGTTCTTTGTGTTCGACTCGACTGAGAAGGGACTAGGAAAATTAAGTCTGTTCTGCAGGCTTGCCAAGGTAGTTAATAGGTGGTTGTGAAATACTTTTTAGACTTGTATTTGACTGCCTTTCCTACAAATGTCATATGTGATATCTCTGTTGATCCCATTAGAATTATTTGTCGATTATATATTGTTTTGTATATGTACCAATCGGAGAATATTATTTAGATTATTACAAATTATCATATTTCCTTAACAGTACATAAGAAATGAGTGATCTCATATCGAACATGCACGAGCAGATTATTTTTATTTTTGTTATTATTATTAATATAATTATTGTTATTATTATTATTATATGTATTATTATTATCCTTATTATTACTATTATCAAACTAAGTGCAAAGTATTTAATTTTATTTTGTTATAACTAGCCATTTGGTGACGTACATGCGACTTTATGGTATGATTATTTTGTAAGGTCGTAAGAGCTAATTTTTTAGGCGCTCGTCGTGTTTCCTTTTTCAAGAAATTAATCTTTCCACTTTCGTAAACGTTTTTGATATTTTTATAATAAATGATTCCACAAACAAAATGGCATACCGTAAAAAATGAACAAAGCAAACGTGTTCTGGAGCAGGGATTAAATTAGTTAAGATTGCAGAGTAGTTCAGTTCAGCCCAGACGATATAAAACCCTTCTTTACTGCTCAAGCGTACATTGTATATTGGAAATTTGATATTAAATGGTGTACATTCATGTAACTGGCTCCATTGTGCAGCTTTTTTGTCAAGTTAACAGGCTTCCTTTGCTTCGAAGGTTAGGAGCTTTTTCATCGAGAACGTGTCCAAATACCCTCAAGGTACGTCCCCACCACCATGTTAAAGCGTTTTTTCCTCCTTATTGAAAACAGGTTCCTTCTACGTGGAAACATTCCTTACATGTTGATAGCTCATCTATTTTACATGAGAGGTTAAAAATGCGGTTTTTGTGAGTTAAGAACACGACCTAACACTTAAAAACTGTTTCCCTTTACCTCAAATGAAATTCTAAAACGTTTTACTGCATTCATTTTGCTTGGAAACTCGTCCGCGTTCAGCATGAATACTTACTCCCAGGCTCTCAGGGCTTAGATCTGTTATCACTCCAAGGTCAAACTCCTCTCTTAAATGCTTTTTTCCATACATTCATCTGAATTTGTAGAAATTTCACCGAACTTTTGAAGTCCGCGGGAGGGGGAAGGGTCGTCTTCAAAGTTACTCACTGAATTTATCTCTTAAAAACTAAAAGTGATAATGAAACACAACTAACAGGAAGCAAACAAGAGTAAATCCAGTCAAATCGAAACCAGTATAAGATAACAAAATGCAAGGGAAGTAGCCGAGAAATTAAGTTCGCCTGCACCAAACATTTATTTGCGTAACCTCAATTTATTTTTCCACATTAAGGTAAATGAAGTCAACGGTCTGCAATCCCGCTTTTAACGACCATATCGAAGAGTCATGCATTGAAGGGGAGGGGGGGGGAGTACACACATGTGCGCATCGTATGCATTCCTTTCTTTATTTCCCAGCTGTCTTTGCGAGTAATTGTTCGCTGGCGGCCATATTGGATGTTCTTAATTTACTCTACCCTGAAATGTTACTTCATGAAGAAAGAAACCGTAGTTTACTTCCGTAATGTTACCTTGTTTTATCCCTATTGTTTATTCGGTGGATAGGAAATATTACGAGGATTTACATGCCTAGCAAAGTTTGTGTTTGTGCACGAGGTTGTCTTTCATCTGTTCAGAGCTAAATATTTTCGTGTAAAGAGGATCTACGATGGTTATCTGCGCAATTTATGAAAGAGAGTCGCTAAAAATAGTTTTCAGAACAAATATTTTTCGTACTTTTTATTTGGAATAAAATACAAAATGGCGTAAGTTATATAATTTATACACTTAATGCAAACACTGAATAGCGGAATTCCCTCACCTTGTTTGCATATAATGTATTGAACAAGAATAACATCAATTTTTCTTTTGCTGAATGTGGGCAATCTGGAGCGGGCAAGATGGGCCCATCTTGCCTGCTCAGGTAGCCAATCAGAACACAGGGTTTGCTTCATCTTGCCTATGGGTGCTGTGAGCATTGTAATAAATACAATTCTCCAATAAAAGGAAACATGGCAAAAACAGTAGACTGCCCTTTAAGGACTTACTTTGTTTTAGAATAGGAACGGGTTATACGGAAATATTTTTCTTTCCTGATCACATTATTATGGTTGTAGTTTTTCCTAAAAGTCTGAGGTTCCAAAATTGCATTGTTTTGTTTTCCATTGAAGTTAAGAATTATTCTGTACTCTGAGTTGAGGTCTTTTGGTAGTATTGCATCACACATCCTTACTGCACATAATTTCACATTTAACACCTGCACACTCACTTAAACCTTTATCAGCTATAATGGTCAGAGCTCACCAGAGGTAAATGTTCATATTTTCGCAAATGAGAATGGTCATCTTTCTTCTTCTTGGAATGGAGAAAGAAATTCTTTTTTTATGACATATAATGACATATAATATTAACCAATTCTCAGGTAGCAAGTGTTTGAAAATATAAGTGTCATGATATTATTCGAAGTATATTGTTATCTACAAGTTACAACTGCTGCTGAACAAGCCTGGGTCAACTCCCTAAAATTAGAGAATTCCAATATGAAGTATTAATAATATAGTATTTACGAACGAAAGATTGTTTAGGTGGGGTTGGGGGATTCGCCTTCATGTACTTTTTGTAAACAAGAGGTTGAATCCTTCAAACATATCTTTTTCTACTGCAATGTTACGAAGGTTTTCTGGGAAGCTTTCTGTTCTTGGCTTGGTGAATGTCAAGTTAGTTTCAAACCTATACAATAATGGACATATTTTTTGGAGTTTTCAATGCGGAAGAGGACTTTACTATTCTAAATCACCTAATACTGACGGCTAAATTTCATATCTACAAGTGTAAATTGAATTCTAAGAACCCCTCTATACGAGTTTATAAGGCCAAGATCGGGGAGATATACCAGGTAGAAATGAAGATAGCAACAAAGCGAAATAAATTAGGTAAACATTTTAAGAAATGGAATAAGCTTTTACCACATATCATTTTGTGGGATGGGTGTCGCCCAAACAGTGTACAGTAGCATAAGAAGTCAATTTTATTGTAAAGCACACAATTTTGCTATATACCATTATTAAGGTACTGTAGGTAATTTACGTAACATAAGTAATTTACGTAACATATTGAAAGGAGTGTAATATGTCGTAAAGTAATGTATATGTAGAGTATCATGTAGGTAGTGGAAGTAATCAGAAGTCATCTGCTGTAACCAAGTTTATTGTAAACCATATTTTGTTAGTGGTGTGTTCTCAGTAAACTATTGTAAGCAACGTATTGTAACTGAGTCCAGTAGTGTATTGTAAGGTCGACTTATACACGGATAAATATGGTATAGATTGTGATCCTACTTTTGAAGTTATTATCATTTAGTTCTGATACAACTTTATTAAGGTTCTATAATTTTTCCTAATCATTTTCCTTTTAATTATCGCTTAAATAATGTAACCTCTTGATTGATTTCAAGACCCTAGCTCACACTTTCTAAGTCCTAGAAGAATCTAAAGTACAAAGAAAGCTAGAACATAAGTTGTTCCCTCAATCAGAACCAATTTTATAGAAAACCAACTCAATGAATCAATAATCCACTGCTTATCTTGACAACTACTCTTTGTGACTAACTACTGGCTGGCCAGTACATCATATAATTACCAACAAACCAGCTATCAAACATGTGGCTTAAGTTGACTGACCTATGGATTACCTACCTTACTGTCTATCTCACTAACCTATTGATGAACTAACCAACTTGTTTTTGTGACCATTCAGTGGCTAATTAACCAATTAACAATTGGTTCATGCTTTAGCGTGCACTATCGAGTTATGGAGCACGCGGGAAGTTT